TTTAAGCAGTGGTGTGCTCCTCCCCTAGCCTAATAGTATAAAACTATTAGAAGTATTGTTCTTCTCTGACCTGGCAGATCCCACCCTCCACTGGGTACATGTGTCCTCAGGAAGAACTTGGGAATCTCTAGGGAGCTGTGTCCACTCATTCATTTGTGTCCTTACCACATCTGTTCATTGCACTGTTCACTGGCTTAGTGGTAAATCAAAATGAAGGCATCCCAAACACCATCCCAATTTTTAAATTTTAACCAGATTTTGAAATCTCATCTCACCCAGCAGTAAATACAATTGACTACCAATGTCTAGAAGGTTCTTTCTGTCTGTGGCCATTGATCCCCTCTGGGTCACATCTTTCTAGCTTTGTACCCAAAAATAGAGTTTTCTTCCCTTATTTGTACTTTAGAAAATTCCTGAGAATATCTTTGAACCAGCTTCCATCACTTGTCCAAAATACAATGATTGTGTTTGCAGTAGAGCCAACAGAGAAAGAAACAATTCTCCAAAAGAACTGTTGTCAGGCAAGACGGCTCTATATTAATAGGTCCATTGCTTTAAACAAACTTTTTATTTAGAGACAATTTCAAACTTGAAGAATAACTGTAAGAATAGCTTTAAAATGCCAGTACATGTCCATCACACCAAACTCCTCAGTTTTTAACATTTCATCACATCTCTACCTTCTCCCTATACATGTGCCATTTTTTCTGAACCACTGAGAATAAGTTAGAGAAATCATACCAGTTTATCCCTAAGAATCTCACTGTACATTTCCTAACATCAAGGAAATCCCTATGTAGCCATATTACTATGGTCCTATTCAGAAAATTTAACATTGAACCCATACTATTGCCTAATACACAGTCCACCTGGCTGCCCACCCCACCTCCTTCACATTCCCCCTTGACCCAGGATGACACGCTGCATTCAGGTGCTATGACCTTTCAGTCTCCTTGACTTTGGAATTTGTCACAGTGACATTTTTGAAGAATATGGGCCAGATGTTTCATAGAAAATCCCTCAGTGTGGGTTTGGCTCATGAGTAGATATTAGTGATTTATTATTGACAGGAATTCTGCACAGCAGTGTGCTAGAGACAGGTTGTACCAGCTCACGACAGCCAATTCTCACATCTTATCAGCCACAATGAGAGTAGTTTACACCTGGAAATCAATAAATGCTGGATATCACTACCCCTGATTTCCAGGTATGAAATATTTACATTTACCTGCATAGCTCATTATATAGGTGAGTGTGTCTTTCTCATACCATCAGAAGGCATTCAGCATTGATGGTGTCTGTCAGGTGAAAAATTACCATTTTTTCCTATATGATGAATAGCATTTTATGAAAAGATACATTGTGATTACATAAATATTCTGCTGTGTTTCAGATTTTCACTCAATGATTTTATTTATTGATGATTACTGCACAGGACTGGGAAAGTGGGTAGCTCAGTGGTAGAGCACTTGCCTAGCATGCATAAGGCTCTGGATTTGATCCCCAACATCATAAAAACAACAATGACAATAATTTAAAAAAGAAAAAGAGTATTGCCTAAAACTGTTAGTACTATGATAGTTGTAAATAGTAATTTTATTTTTCATTTCTTCTGTTTGTTGGTATCTACAAGTTAATTTCTAACCAACTTAATTCTGAACTAGTAATAGATCTGGAAGGAAACTCCCAACAGTTTTTCAAGTAGCTCTCAGTACTAAGTGTCTGTAGCAGGTTATTGAATTCATTGCTATGGTGTAGATTAAGTCCATAGCGTGTGGCATCATTATAGAATGAACAGAATGAGTCTTCAGAAATAATTTTCCTGTGTTTATTGGTGACATATAGTCCCACCAACAGTGGAGGTGGCATTGTGAGTCTTTTTTTTTTACAATCTTGTATGATCCCACTTTCTACCAAAAGTATGCCTTTAGAAGATTCCTGGAGAGAGATTTGCACTGGTGTCATGGAAGGCTATCTAACTGTGGTAGAGTAGAAAGGACAGTGGACTGGAAGTCCAAGGTTACCACACACAAAGAGATCAGATGGTAAACTTCATCTCCCTGGACCTCAATGACCTTCATCTATAAAGCAATAGGGTGATATTCTCACGAAGTTCCCTTTTAGATCCTAGAACCTTCTTTTATTTGGTTCTTTTACTTGGGAATCAAAACCTAGAATTCACTTCACTAGCATGGTGTCTCCATGCACTGAACCAATAAACCAAGGACAGAAATGATGCAGTCAAGGTGGAGCCCACACCCAGTGACCTGGTGACTGGATAATAATGCAGATAAGTTAGACATAGGGTGTAGCATTGGGACCTGACACTGTTTCATATTCCCTTTGTGCATCATCTGACTCATTTCTCTGGTTCTCTTTGTTTATCCCTGACAGTCATGGAAACCCACTGAAGGATCTTATTACTATTCTCTTTGAGGAGATCCCTCTCTCAAGTGTTAGCTTGCCCAGTACTTATAAGGTTACCTCTGTTGCCATGGTTGGAAGTAAAAGAAATCCTCTGTCCTGGGCAGTCTTCAGGTTCAAAAGAACTTTTACATTTCAAGCATGAATTTCTAGAATTCTTTATAAGTCTTAATTAAATTTCACCAAATGAACTTGCTGAGAACTAGACAAATAGTGTTATTCTTGATAGATGCATTGTTTAGCAAATTCCATGAGCAAATCAAGTAAAACTAGCAATTAGGACTCAAAATATGTTACCTTGGATTTCTTGAACAGTAGTTGTTATTTGGAGGGTGAGGTAGGGGCTGAGGGTTATAAAAGAATGTGGGGGCTTTGCCAAACTGTGTATTCTCTTCCTGGAACAAGATTTTGAGAGACCCCACGCCCTCACCCTCCTCCACAAGAGCTGAGTTTGAGCTACTTGAGTGGATTCAGAAGTCCATAGGCGAGCTGGGGATTTGTGCCCCACACACTTGGAGCTATCTGAGCCTGGTACTTTCACCATTTTTAATATTTAATGACTCTTCCAAGGCAGAGAATTATTTGGCAGCTTGCTAAAGAGTATCTACTTTAGGTCATTTATCTGTCTTCCGAACTTCCATTTACTAAATTGAAAAGTTGGTGTCAAGAATATTTTTTAAATGACTCATGTAGGGTTCTGATGAGGCAAGGGGGGTCACTGAGTATCCATGGGTTTGGCAGTAATTTCTAGTTTATTTGGTTCATCTTAAATTTTTTTAATAGCCCAGAAATGCACTTTTTCCCTTCTCCAACACATTAATACAAATTTGACTTTAACTTTGTGTTTCAGTCTGTTTTCAAACTCATAGATGTTTTCAAGTTCTCCTCTTACCCAGGCTCCTGCTCTGTGAGTTTCCTTTTGTTTGAATTTAAGCAATGTAACTTTTTTAAAAGTTCACCTAATCAACACTTACCTCACCTATTGGATTAACCACTTCATCTTCTATCACCAGACTCTTGCTTGAAAGATAGAGGGCCATTGATTCTCTTTGATTTCATAATAATCTGTTTCCAGAGATTACAGGCAAGTTTTGAATTCCAAGGCGTGGGGGTCTATCAGCTTTTGAAACAAAAACACTTTGATACAGATCCTCTGCCTCAGGTTTCAGAAGGGAGTCCTATATGTTGGAGGATGGAGTTTTCATTTTGTAATAGAAGAGAAACAGGAATAATCATCACTGGTACAATAATACCATGGTGATTTGTGTTTCATTTTATGACTTTTATAAGAATTATTATTAGGTTGTGTTTTGGAGAACTCTACTCAAATCACTTGGAACCCTGAGAGACAGGCATAATCCTTTCAAAAATTCTCACTGATTATAACCACCTCTGTAAACTACCTCCTGCACATTTATTTTAAACTATGTAATTACTCCCCAGTGATTCACCTGGGATAACTAGGAAGCGATCCAGCTCAGATTCAACAGGTAGAAGGGAGGAAGAAAGTGCAGGGAAATTTGCAGGCCCATGAGTTTCAGTTCTTGCACTTTCAAGTACTAATTATGCTGCAGTTAGGCGAGGAGGGGCTTAGGCAGCATTGTTTCTGCATGTGTTAATGCTTCCAAGAGCTCCTCCAATCGAAAACAGTTTAAAAAAAAAAAATCCATCTACACCAGCTCACTGTTGTACTGTTACATGGAGCAGTAACAGCATTTACCTATGTGACCACATTTAGAGATGCAAAGATACATGTGTTATGGATAGAGAAAATTCCTTTCCATACCCATTTTTGCATCCCTACCAGGCTATGAGGGGGGAAAAACAAAGGTCTTGTAAACCAGGGACCAGAGCTTGAATTTTTCATTGGGATCTTGGAGAATGAAACAATAAAATGATAGAAAAATGATAAATTACAGTTCATCAAACTCTAATTATTTTAATCACATCAAATGTAAAGCAAAATAATTTTTTTTTGTCAGTACTGGGTTTGAACACAGGGCCTTGCTCTTGCTAAACAGGTAACAGACTTTTAGTCTTCTAAGCATTTGCTGTGACTGATTTTGAAGGCTTCCCACTTTATCTAAAATGAAACAAATGGTAATAATGTGTCATTGACGCAGAAGTGAATTTACATTTTAATAATATTTGCATTTTGTGTGTACTAAAATAACGATGCTATGACACCGAAGGGAAAAGAAATTATCTCAGGAAAACCCACAGCAAACAAATCTAAGAAAATCTGCAGAGCTTAAAAAATGAATTTCCAGAGATAAAAATTATTCATTTAGAAGTTGTATCCGTTTTTGGACTCAAAGTCATTCATGGTTTTTCCCCCAAATATTGCTTTCTAAACAAAATTCCCCACAGATAATTAAACGCATACACAAGATTTCCCCTTGTCTGTCCAGTGTGTCTCTGCACACACACACCCCTCCCCCTGCAAATGGTATGATCTGCATTTGATCGTAAACTGGAGGTGCCAAGCTGTGACAGCTTCCCCAACTTCTCGGCCATTTGGTACAATCTAGGGCAGCCCAGCTTTCAGTGATGTTTTTTTCCTTTTTCACCAACAGGGACAAATCGAAGTAGACAGCGAGACCATCTTCAAGTTAGCTGCACTCATTTTACAGGTAAGAATTCATGAAGTGCCTCTAACCAGCTCCCTCCTCTTTTGTTTCATGGTTTTTGCTAACTGCCTGCAATTCTGAAACTTTTGCATAAGTCAGGGTCTAATGGATTTTTAAGCCTATTAGTTGCTTACAATGAAAACCAGGAGCCCTTGAATTCTGTTTTGGAATAATTTGCATGAGCTATATCCTGTGATATTCTACATCTCAAAGTAAAAAAATGTAATTTAGACTGCTCTGAGGAAAGAGTTCAGACCATACTCCTGGAAAAGAACTCTGAGTTACTTGGGCTTGGGAAGCTGCAATTGTTAGAACAGCTGTAATTTTCATTTAAATTTAGTAACTTTTTTTGTATACATTTTCTTGAGGTTGTAGAAAGAGCTCTTTAATTCTTAGAGGTATTAGTAGCTGAAAAACAAAGTCTGTTTCAATACTGGCTTAGAAAGTAAAGGGGAAACAAATAGTATATGTTGATTTATCTGTATTATGGTTTAAAAGGTCTGTATCCAGTCTCAAAAGGGTGTCACTCTTTTATCATGTGATCCTAGAAAAATAAAGAGAGAGAATTGTCTGTGCTTTTTCACGTGTATTCATTTGTCTCTTCTGTAAAAGATAAGAAATATTTGTGTTTCTTACCAATGCCACTTTCTTGTAGACAGCCACAGGGAAAGTGTTCCTTATGTAATTTTCAACATAAAACCGGGGATTTAGGAGAGGAAATTGCCAAGAGTAAATAATTCATTTAGCTCAGCATAGATACATAGTGAAAAAATAAATACATCGTGATCATCTGTCTTTTTTTTTTTTTTTTAATTTCAGGAAACCAAGGGAGATTATACCAGGTAATGATTCCTTTTTATGATATTACAATACCAACTCACCCTCTCTGAATCGTTATATGTGTTATTTTAAATAACAATGGACCCCAAGGCAGGGGACTCAGATCTCCTCCCTCTTCAAATAGACACCTATTCTTTTTGTGAATGAATCTGAAAATAAAACCCGCCTTACAGCTTCTCAGGCCAGAATGACAGAGAATTGTAAACAGAAGCCCTCCAAAGTGTATTAGTGAGGTGAGGAAATCTATTAAAACTTTGCTAGCTTGTGCTGATTAAAAAAAAAAGAAGAACAATGCTCCTGTGTCTAAAGAGTTATAACGTACACGAGGGAAGATTAAATCCATCAGCGGCTTAGTTAAGGGATTAATAGGGGGGGCTTTCTTTTGCAGCTGCCCCAAGGGGCCTCACCCTTCCTACACTTGACCTAACAGTTGCGTTGTAGCTGTCCAGACACATTGGTTCTCACTGCCTAACTGGCCATCTCATCAGAGAGTGTTTCTGTTTGAATTTATCTTCTACTATTCTGTCCCTTTCGTGCACTAGTTGTAGGAGGAGAAGGTGAAATGGCTAACGGTTGGAGAGAGAGGCCGCTGGTTAGAAACAGCACATTGGCCAAAGACCCACTGAAGGCCTGGCCCCCACCACGTTAATGTTCCACTCCTGTAAACTTTAACCTGAGATTATTTACACATCACCTCATACTCTTCCCAGCCAGGTCTTTGAATAACGTGCTTCTTAATGGAATGATAAAATAATGCTTTCCAAGCTTGACAGCTTCCAGCCCCAGAATAATACTGCACTTAAGAGACACCAGACACTCCTCTTCTGCCTGTTAAGCATGGTAGAGCCGGCAGGATTTCCACTTCACACACCATAATTTTCTCACCATGCTCTCTCATGTGTGTATACACATATATTGTTTTAATTTTTTAAGTTAAGAAATGCTTTGAAGGAATCATGAGAATCAACAAACGCCAAAGGTTTTTTTTGAGTGTGTTTATTTTTTTGCGGTACTGGGGTTTGAACTCAGGGTCTACACCTTGAGCCGCTCCACCAGCCCTTTTTTGTGAAGGACTTTTTTTTTGAAATAGGGTCTCACGAGCTATTTGCCTAGGCTGGTTTGAACTGAACCAGGATCCTACTGATCTCTGTCTCCTGAGTAGCTAGGATTGTAGGGGGTGAGTCACTAGGTTTTTTTGTTGTTATTGTTGTTTTTATTGAAATAAAATAGGAATACTTATTCTATTTAATGGGAAAATGTTGACTGATTCTAGAATTCAAAATAAACCCAATTAAGATCTTTAAAAGACAAAAATAAATTGAAAGAAAATGGCAGGAGATGAAAGCTAAAGATAGATCATGAATGACCTCCAGAGCTGTCATGGCCCCACTGTCATTTGCTGGAGTTGCCACATCTCCGAGGAATATCAGATGTATGAGGAATGTCATCACATAAGGGGCGATTCTGAAGTGAGTTCTTCAGGTCTGAAAGGTCACTCTCTATTTGTGGATTGCTACCCCTCCCTTCCCTACTTTGTCAGGGTCAAGCAGGTGACAGACAGGCACCCTAAGCCTCAGTTTCCTCAGCAGTAAATGGCACCTACCCCATAGGACTGTTTTGAGAATTAAATGTCTGAACATTGCCCAGGACAGTATCTGGCATGTTAAGCACTGATTATACCCCAGCCATTATCATTAATTTAGCGTCATTACTTTCCTCATCATTATCAGAATTCTGTCTGGTCGCTTGGCTCCCTCCGAAAAGAGTATGAGACTAAGGTGGATCAGAAGAAGCTGTAATAACAGCATGTTAGGGGAAAGACCAGAAAGAGAAAGGTGAATTTCACCACCCTTCCTTAGGGACAATCTCTTGCCTGAGGCAGGAGGCTTCCAGGTACCCCCTTGAGTGATCCAGGGTTTTTAGCCCTAGGATTTCAAGCTTGGTTAGTTCACTCCAGCTGAGCCCGGTAGAGTTTTTTGTCCCTTGCCAGGCTCAGGTGGCTTATGCCTATAATCCTAACTACTCAGGAAGCAGAGATCAGGAGGATCACGGTTCGAAGTCAGCCCAGGCAAATAGTTCATAAGACCCTATCTCGAAAAAAAAACCATCACAAAAAAGGACTGGTGGAGTGGCTCAAGGTGCAGGCCCTGAGTTCAAGCCTCAGTATTGAAAAATAAGAGTTTGTGCCTGAACTTAGCTGGCTCTGAGTAGTTCCCTGGGGAATCACCAGACTGAAAAAGTGTTATACGCTGTGTCAAAATTGTCCAGCTGGTGGCTCACGCCTATAATCCTAGCTACTCAGGACACGGAAATCAAGAGGATCATGGTTTGAAGACAGCCCCAGGCAAATAGTTCAGGAGACCCTATCTCAAAAATACCCAACACAAGAAAGGGCTGGCAAAGTAGTTCAAGTGGTAGAGCAACTGCCTAGTAAGTGTCAGGCCCTAAGTTCAAAACCCCAGTACCACCAAAAAAAAGAAAAGATTTGCCCATCTACACTGAGTAGGAGAAAGAACATACAATCAGGCCTTGCACAAACCAGTAGCATCTCCTGATGAGCCATGAGCCTTTCTGAACTTCGATCAAAACAACAACTTTGCAGGCTGGTGGAGTGGCGCAAGTGGTCAAGTGGTAGAGTGCCTGCCTAGCAAGTGTGAGACCCTGAGTTCAAACCCTAGTATCACACAGAGACACACACACACCAAAAAAAAAAAAAAAAAGCAACTTTGTAGTATGATTTTGAGGAAGTGAATGATGTGAAAAAACTATAAATTATTTCACAAGCACTAGTTACTGCTAATAAGGATGAAAGAAATAATCTAAATGCGAACGGAATTTTGGTTCCTTGCTACCCCTCCATGGGATCTCGTCCTCCCCTAAATGAAATGGATACATTTTTCCTCCAAAATTTTGTTATACAACTAATTTAATACAATCAGGTAAAATAAAATAAGATTGTTATTGTTATAGTGTTGAGACGAGAGATGTGGAAGCAGATAGCCTCATTCAGATCCCAGGATAGATGACCTCACCTCTCTGTGCCTCAGTTTGCGTATATTAAAATAGGACTTATAATAATATACAAACTCTCTAGGATTCGTATTTGCAAAGTGCCTAGGACAGGTCCTGTAATCGTCCCTTTAACATCCCATCAAATTGATGGGCATGATCTCCCACTCCCCTGATATGACAAATACAAGTTGTTACCCACTTCTTGCTAATGTAAATTTTTTGTGGTGAACGTCTTTGTGCATTTGGGACTGATATTACTTATGATTATTTTCTTAAGTGAAGTTACTCAGGTGGGAACAAACAAAGGGAAATTCCTTAAATGAGACAAAGTGGTGAAATGGAATGTGTGTTTTTGATAAGGCTAAATTTAAATTATAGACAAGTCATAGCTTCATCTAATAAGCATCTACTAAAGCCTAAATGACGCCAGGACCTGCCTAGGTACCGAGGGCACAAAGACACGTACTATATACCAGCAGGGACTTTCCTTTAGGAAAGGATTCCCAACTTCTTCAGTGGCAATTCCCAATTGCACTTTGTAGTTGGTTTGCATGTTGGTGGCTGCTGCTCTTGGCTTGAGCTGCCTTAGAACTTAACTTAATCTTCTCATGGAAGTGTAAACATTATCAAAATATATCCCAGCCACCTGAGACCAGGGCTTTTTCAAACAGTGATTGAACACCTAATTCTTATGGCAGCCCTGGTTCACCCCTGGTAAATAGCCCCACTTTCTATTGCTCTCAATGTCTCTCTCTTCTTTCTCTCTCTCTCCTTTTCTCACTGTATAGCCCAGACTGGCCTTGAATTCTTGAATTCTGCCTGAGCCTCCCCAAGTGCTAGGAGCGCTGGGATTATAGGTGCGAGGCACCCAGTTTCCCCTCTTTCTCAAATTTAGCATTTCTGAAGCTGAACTCAGTCACCAACATCCCAGCCTCCAGGCCAACCCCTTCTGCTGCCTTCCCTTGAACCAGGAACCCTATCCCTTCCCTCCCTTTTTTCCATCTGTCAGAAAGCTCCCTGCTCGCCTTCTCCTCCCTAGTCCCCATTCTTCTCTCAACCTGACTAGGACAGTATGCATGTGCATCTTGTTTGAGCTAACAACTGAGGGCATCCCATGGCATTATTTAGAACATCTTGCCTGATCCCATCCAACCCCAGCACAATAGTGATCCTCCCCATTTAGCTAAGGTCAGCCCATAGATGTTAGGCCCATGGCCCTGAGTCCCCAAGCTGTTCTGACTCCACAGAGTACTCCCACCTGCCCCTAACCTCCAGCCCCTCCTGAGACACTGATCTGATCATTGTTGTTTACTTCTGAAATCTCCTAATTTGTCACTGCACAGAGACACCTGCCCTTTCACACCCCAACCTGGCATTCAAGGGTACTTCATCCGTGTGACACATTTCCCGTGCACACTCTGTGTTCCTGATCCACTCTTTCTGTGCTCTGTTAAGCGTCATGGCTTTGCCCAAACTCTTCTTCCTAGAATGCCTTTAAAACCACAACTGTCCCCTTCTTATTTTGCTTCCCACCATGTTTCCTTCAGAGTATTTTAGTTAACATTATCATAGCGGGTAGGAAGCCCTGCTCTCTGAAAGTTAATTAGAATAGTGGAGTGGGAACTTCCATTTTCTTTAAATAGCTGACAGTCTGAATTTCCAAGTGAGCCCTTACACTGCAGAGATAACAAGCCACTCTGGTAACACAACACTGGCAGTAGCAGAGAATTCCTGAAAGCTGACCCAGCAAGGAGGCCTGGCCTTATCACTGAGCTGCCAGCCACAAGTGGGTTTGTAAAAGCAAAGGGGCTTTGTTTTGTTTTGTTTTTAAGATCCTAAAAGCTGGAAGTTACCAAGTAAGTATGTGATTAGGGTGCTTCTGTTTATCACAAAAAAAGTGAGTGACTACAATTTTCACTTCACTGCTGACTGGGAATGACACTATGTTAATACCCACCTTCAAATGGGAAAGAAATAGTCCCAATTTACA